CTTGTGACATGGGGGTCCGGCCCCTATTGGTCAAGCAGCTCCATTGTCTGTGTTTTCTCTGAGAAATCTTCTGGGACAGTCGCTGGGAGTGTGGATTCCCTTTAAAGGGCCATCAGTGCATCTGGCTGCTCCGTTGTTATACCTCAAAGGCTGGTTGTGGGTATTCCCAACCTCACGACGTATTTCAGTAACGCACACAGCAAAACTTCACAACTTCCCATACAGTGATAGCACATACAATCCAACAGTCAACAGTATATTAATGTTCACCAGATCAAGATTTTTAAAATGATACCTCACACGGCATACTTTCTACAAAACATATCCTATATCACCATGGTAAATATGGGGTGACAGTGGTGAGTATGGGGGTTCCATGGTGCTGCTTTGAGGTACAGAGTGACACAGTGACCCCTTGTCCTTGTGTTATGAGAAGGGGTAAATAATACTTCCTTATTCACTCTCTGCACATCATTTATGATTTTATAGTCCTCTGTCATATTCTTCCCCACCCCCTTAGTTGCCTCTCTTCTAAGCGGAACAGTCCCACACTTTTTAATTTCTCCTGACATGGAAGTTGTTTCCTACCCCTAATCATTTAGCTGCCCTTCTCTGTACCTTTTCCAATTCTGATAGATCGTTTTTGAAATGGGGTCACCAGAATTGCATGCAGTATTCTAGGTGTGGGAATAGCATTGATTTTTATGGTGGCATTATGATATTTTCTGTCCTATTATCTATCGCTTTGCTAATGGTTCTTAACATTCTGTTCACTTTTTTGGCTGCTGCTGCACATTGAGCAAAATGTTTTCACAGAACTACTCATGACGTCTCTAAGATTTCTTTTTGAGTTGTAACAGCTAATTTATACCCCATCATATTGCGTATATATATTTGGGATTATGTTTTCCAATGTGCATTACTTTGCACTTATCAACATTGTATTTCATCTGCCATTTTGTCATCCAGTCACCCAATTTTGTGAGATCCCTTTGTAACTCTTTGCAGTCTGCTTTGGACCTAACTATCTTGAGTAGTTTTGTATTGTCTGCAAACTTTGAAAACATCATTGTTTACCCCCTTTTCTAGATTATTTATGAATATGTTGAACAACACTGGTTCCATTATGGATCCTTGGGGGACCCCGCTATTTACCACATTCCATTCTGAAAACTGACCATTTATTCCTATCCTTTGTTTTCTGTCTTTTAACCAATTATTGATCCATGAGAGGACCTTCCCTCTTATCCCATGAGTGCTTTCTTTGCTTAAGAGCCTTCAGTGAGGGAACTTGTCACAGGCTTTCTGAAAGTCCTAATATACTATATCTACTGGATCACCCTTGTCCACATTCCGTTGACTCCCTCAAAGAATTCTAGTAAATTGGTGAGGCATGATTTCCCTTTACAAAAGCCATGTTGACTCTTCCCCAATATATTGTGTTTATTTATGTGTCTGATAATTCTGTTCTTCGCTGTAATTTCAACCAATTTGCCTGAGACTGCAGTTAGGCTTACTCACCTGTAATTGCCTGGCTCGTCTCTGGAGTCTTTTTTAAAAATTGGATTTATGTTAGCTATCCTCAAGTAATCTGGTACTGAAGCTGATTTAAGTGATAGAGTACATACCACAGTTAATAGTTGTGCAATTTCATATTTGAGTTCCTTCAGAATTCTTGTGTGAATACCATTTGGTCCTGGTGACTTATTACAGTTTAATTTTTCTATTTGTTCCAAAACCACCTCCTATTGACACCTCAATCTGGGACAGTTCTTCAGATTTGCCACCTAAAAAGAATGGCTCAGGTATGGGAATCTCCCTCACATCCTCTGCAGTGAAGACTTCATTTAGCTTCTCTGCAATGGCCTTGTCTTCCTTGAGTGCTCCTTTAGCATCTTGATTGGCCAATGGGGCCACTGATTGTTTGTTAGGCTTCCTGCTTCTGATGTACTTCACAAATTTTTGGCTGTTAGTTTTTGTGTCTTGCTATTTGCTCTTCAAATTCTTTTTTAGCCTGCCTAATTAGACTTTTACATTTGACCTGCCAGAGTTTATGCTCCTTTATGTTTTCCGAGGAACAAAGACTGAACTGGGGGGAAGTACTGGACCCCGGCTAAAGGGATTTTTAGCTTGTGAATGGAACACCTGGGGTTTCCAAGCTGTAAGCAAGTGCAGCTTGCCCCTTAAGAATCTGCAGCCTGCTTATATCATCACCTAGGGTGAGAATCTGCTATTCATATCCAATCTATTTTGTTTATTAAGCTTAGTTTGTGTTTTTTGTTTATTTGCTAGGTAATCTGCTTTGATCTGTTTGCTATCTGTTATAATCACTTAAAATCTGTCTTTTGTAGTTAATAAACTTGTTTTTGCGTTATCTAAACTAGTGTATGAGAATCATAACTCGGGGCAAAAGGCTGTTGCAGGTTCCTCTCCATGTTGAGGGAGGAGGCGCATTTCATGAGCTTACACTGTACAGTTCCCTGTGCAGTGCAAGATGGTATAATTTTCGGTTTACACTCCAGAGGGGGTGCAGGCCTGAGGAGCTGGCAGGTGCCTTAGCTGGAGCCTTCCCATGCAGGGGCTGGTCAGAGAGCCTGCCTGCATGTAACTGCAGCTGGGTGTATCCCTACTTGTATGTATGATGGTGGAAGTGCAGGCTGGATCCTGGAGGGCATGGCAGCTTGTCACAGCAGTACAGTGTGAGAGAGCCCAGACTGGTGGATCGGGGGGCTCAGTGGTACCCCAGTTCCAGATGGCAGCCGTGGGGTGGGGGGGGACCCATCACAATAGTACAACTCTACTCAGTGCTGGTTAGGCTTCAGCTGGAGTACTGTGTCCAATTTTGGTTACCAATGTATAGTAAGGATGTGGAGAAACTGGAAAGAATCCAGAGGTGAGTGACAAAGATGATCAAAGGGATGGAATGAAGCCGTACGAGCAAAGGCTGAAGAAACGGGGTATGTGTAGTTTGGAAAAGAGGAGATTAAGAGGGGACATGGTAGCGGTCTCCAAATACTTGAAAGGCTGCCCTAAATAAGATGGAGAAAAGTTGTTCTCTCTTACTACAGAGGGCAGGACAAGAGGCAGTGGGTTCAAACTCCAGCATAGCAGATTTAGGTTAAATCTCAAGAAAAACTTCCTCTCTGTAAGAAAAGTAGGAGAATGGAACAGATGCCTAGTGAGGTTGTGGAACTTCCTTCATTGGAGGTTTTCAGAAGGAGGCTGGAGCCATCTGTCTTGAATGGTTTAGACACAACAAATCTTGCATCTTGGCGGGGGGGGGGGGTGTTAGACTAGATGACCCTTGTGCTCCCTTGTAACTCTGAATCCCTGCCCAGACCCTCTTGATTTAAAGCCTGCACTCTATTCTTTTTACTGTCTGGTTTCACTTTGTTTTACATTATTTTTTTCAAATTATTATTTTCACTCCTCTCTATCCATTGGTCAGGGCTTACCTTCCCCCACACCTCTTCCATACCCACTGTGAGCCCAGCCAGCATTGCTGAGTCCTTCTGTTCCTCCCATCACAGGACAACCCCTTCCCTGGCACAAATGTGTGCTTCCTTGACGATGTCATAGGTTGGTAGTCACCTTCCTGAGGACACGGAGGGTCTCGCTCCCTGCTCTCCATCTGCAGCAGCAGACACAATCTCTCTTCCCTGATGGCTTTTTGGATCTCTGAGATGATCTCTCCTGAGTCCATGTGGCCTGAGTCTTATTTTTCATATTATCCTTTTTCAGAGGAATTAAGAGTCTCTTGCTCCTGAATTGTAGCATCTAATTCCCAAGCCATCTCCTCACACTGGGGGATTTTCATACTCCCTTCAATTACACCTAACTCACTAGATTCCCTAATTCCTCTAAACCTGCTTTCCTGCCATTTGGTGTCCCTGAGATGCCGGATTCAGTGACATGCCTTTCCATGCTGAACCCCACCAGCCCATTGTTTCTGGGCCTCTCGCTCTTGGGGAGAAGCAGTTCCAGGGTGACTTCCCTTGTGGCTGGACATGTCTTCACTTTTGGGCCAGGGTGTTACTCTCTCTGGGTTTCAGGGGACCCTTTGATGATGAACAACTGGCTGTGTGTGTTCCCAGCAAAGATGGGGATAGTTAAACCCTCATAAGCAGCGTGTTCTGCACCTTTGAGCAACTGGGGAGCAGGCCCCAGAATTTTACTGCTTTAAAATGACCTGGAATTAAAATAATGGAACTTTGTTGTGACAAATGTCCAATGAATTCACCTGATCTCACTTGTTTTCTTTCCCCTGAGCAGGGTTTCCAGTTTCCAAACCTGATGTGATCTCCCAGCTGGAACTAGGGAAAGAGCCATGGGTCTCAGATCTTCCGGGCTCAGAGGAAAAAGGGATCCTAAGATGTGCCTACACCGGTGAGGAATCACTAAACCAACTCAGGAACTGTCTGAAGTAAACAGCTGGGATTCCCTACAAAGACCTTATGAGCGCTCTGAATTTAGGATTGTCCCCAGATGTCATATCCTCAGGGAAGATATTGCTCATGGTCCCCTGGCAGTAGCTTCCTCCCTGATCTCCCTTCCCCCTGAATGTTTGGTTGGGAGGTGGAGGGAGAATTGATTCACTCCTCTCTCCTATGGAAAAGAGTGTGGGCAAATTCAGTTCCTGATTTTTATATTTTTCAGTCTCTCCCGGTCTTATTTTGGTTTGCTCTCCCCTTTCGCACTACCATTTCTGAGGTTTCTCTCTCTGTTCCAGCAGGTGATGGGCTGGTGAGGGAGAATGAAGAGCAGAAGCCTCAGCAGGAAGATGCTGAGCAAGTGGAACTATCTGGGGCATTTTTGCAAAAATCCAAAGGGAACGTGCCCAGGAGTTCCGAGCAGGGAAAAACCTGTGAGAGTCAGCACAGGCCAGAAAGGCAGCAGGGCAACCAACCAGGGCAGAAAGTGGGTAAATCCATGAATTGTCAGGAAACTCATGAGGACCTCAAGGAAACCACAGCCAAGCAGAGAATCCCCAGAGGAGAGAGAAACCACATGTGCACGGAGTGTGGGAAAACCTTCAGTAGCCGTTCAAGCCTTATTACTCATCAGCGGATCCACACAGGAGAGCGACCCTATAAATGCTGTGAGTGTGGGAAAAACTTCACTCGTGGCTCAACCCTTATTACACATCAGAGAATCCACACAGGAGAGAGACCTTATGGATGCTGTGAGTGCGGGAAAACCTTCAGTCAGCGGTCACATCTTATTACTCATCAGAGAATCCACACAGAAGACAGGCCCTATGAATGCTGTGAGTGCGCAAAAAACTTCAGTATGATCTCACACCTTATTAGACATCAGAGGATCCACACAGGAGAGAAGCCCTATGAATGCTGTGAGTGCGGGAAAACCTTCAGTTACCGCTCAGGCCTCATTACACATCAGAGAATCCACACAGGAGAGAGGCCCTATGAATGCTGTGAGTGCGGGAAAACCTTCAGTCAGAGCTCACACCTTATTACGCATCGGAGAATCCATACAGAAGACAGGCCCTACGAGTGCTGTCAGTGCGGGAAAACCTTCACTCGACATGCACACCTTATTAGACATCAGCAGATCCACACAGGAGAGAGACCCTATGAATGCTGTGAATGCAGGAAGAACTTCACTCGGAGCTCACATC